TAGTTTTTTTTTTTTTTTGGAATTTTGTTCGAATTTTATGATTTTTTTTTTTCGAATTTTGTGTTATAACATTCATGTGATTGGCCACATTCATCAATTTATAAGATCATATATTTTTTGGCCACATTTAAAAAAAAATTTAAAAATTGAATTCTTTATTATTATTTTTTAATAAGGGCAAAATAGTATTTTAAGGGCGCGGTGAATAGTAAAAATGGGTGCGGTGAATATTAACACTCAATCTAACACTGAGATGAAAGCATGACAATATGATTGGTAAAATTAAAATAGTAAAATAGTAAGCAAATACGATGAATATTTATATAGAAGGTGATTAGTGATTTCTTTTCTTGAACGCTGTATACATATGGTTAATAACCCCGAAAAAAAAAATAGTAATATTGTATTGTTTTATTTTTTATTTTTATTTTTTGTTTTTGTGTGGAAAATTTGATAAACAGATGCATATGTTTCCAACGAATGCAATGATTTTATTATTATTATTATTATTATTATTATTATTATTATTATTATTATTTTTTTTTTTAATTTTAAATCCGAGCATGCATACTGCATGCTTACTTTAGTTACATAATAGGCCTTAGATATCCATATATATTATGTTTGAATAGTCAACATAAATTGACCATATTCTAATATTGCCAATGTTGTCTATTCAAATGTGGGAAGGTGACAAATATCATATATAGGCTCCAAATTCTGGAAGTGTGATGCATTTAAAATCTCAATACAAACAAATAAGATACAAATGAAATATCTGCATGCAATTTTTTTGGAAGCTTGCATTGTCAGTCAGTAGATATTTCAATTCTCTCCCAGGATTAGCCTGCAATTGTAAGGTTCTCATTCACTCAAAAATCCAAACATATATACGATTAAATAAAAATCTAATATTCCCAAAGCCCTTTCCCTCAATTTTCAGTATCAATTGAACTCTTTCTTCACATAGATTGCCCTGAAAGAAAAATAAAAAATAAAAAATAATTCCTTTTGTGTTGTTATACATATGGCTCTAACTCCAGCTACATCTCTAAACCACATTTGTAGCAACAACACAAGAAGCAATCTATCATTCAAAAACCCAAAACTCATCACATTATTCCCATACACCCTTATAACCACCACACCAATAATTAAATCTTCACAACGAGTGACAGCAAGGCGCGATGACGTGGTGGTTATCGCCGCTGACGAGGAAATGGACAAAATCCGGCGACTGCAAAACGGGTCAGACGTGCGCGGGGTGGCGGTGCACGGCGAGAAGGGGCGGCCGGTAGACCTGACTCCGGCGGCCGTGGAGGCCATAGCCGAGAGCTTCGGGGAGTGGGTGGCGGCGGCAGCCGTCGAGGAAGGGTCGGTTAGGGTTTCGGTTGGGAGAGACCCGAGAGTCTCAGGACCCATGCTGAGTGTGGCAGTGTTTGCAGGGCTCGGGAGGGCCGGGTGCGCGGTTTTCGATATGGGACTGGCTACAACGCCGGCTTGCTTCATGAGCACAATATTGGCTCCTTTTCAGTACCATGCTTCGATTATGGTACTGACACTATCTTTTTTACTCTTTTCTTTTTTTAATAAGTATCGTTTTAAAAAGTTGCACAATAATTAAGATTTTTTTTTTCAATAATAACATTCATTAATGAGGATAGAGATTGATGTTTTGAGAAAAGATGAATAGTGGATATAAGAAGATGTAGTGTATTTATTAACTAGATAAGAGTAATAATGGAAAAATATGTACAAAAGATACAAAACGTCATTTATTTAGGTAATTGTTGATAAAACAGAAATGACATTTAAAAAAAAAAAGGTAGTATTTGACGAGGCACTAACTTCAAATTGAGCATTTAAGTGCGTGATTTTTCAAGTTATTGACCTAATTTATCCTTTGTTTTTGAAAAATTAGGATGGCATACGTAGCCCAATTATCTTAATATGCGGGATAAAAAGATAATTGTCCATAATTATCACATGTCAGAAGTTAAAATTGAGCATTAAATGAATGATTTTCAAGTTGCGATCCTAATTTTTGCTGGAAAATTAGGACAGGATCACGCACTTGATGCCCAATTATTCTAATTAGTGAAAAAAAAAAGTGTCCATAATTGTCAATGCCACAAGTTATAGGACATAAATTGTAATTTTGCAATCGAAAAGACAAATATACTCCGTATATTTACTCATGTGTCTAATAATTAAACACGTGAATATACATATGCACGGTTTTGCTATGAAGCCAACAGCTGGCTCCATAGTGAAACAGGTATCAGTAGATAAAAATAAATATAGATCATTGCAGCACATATTATTAGCGAGATAAATTCATCGCCCGATATGTTCGCCAGATGGATTATTGAGGGTCGGTCGATAAATTCCGACGCAACCGTCAATATAATTTCATTTACTGTGGAAAAATTCCACGTTTCTTTTGGTGTTCGAACGAACGATACCTGACAATGAAATGTTTCGATTAGCAAATTCTATGAACAAATTTTGTACTTATTTTTATCTCCGAGTGTTTATAGTTTGATCTAGAAATGTACATACATCTTTGTATAGGTCACAATTTTCCTATAGTTTTCTATAATATTTATTTTTGTACAATCTATATATATATAATTACTAGCTAATAGCATTTAATAAAACCTATTTAATTTTACCTATGTGGCAATTTAACAATTTTCCCTCCAAAAACCGTTACATTTTGATGTATTTAATCTTTCATTTAATCATTAAATAATTAATACTCATCACTTCAAAATTACAAAAATCATTTTAAACTTTTGATTAATGACAGTTGACCATATAATGTGTTGATCGTATAATGTGATTAGATGTTATTATTGTTGTTACATTTAATTTTATTTTATTTTTTTGAAAATAAAAAATATATTTAAAATTCCTAAATAAATAATAAATAATTCACAAATAAAAGACGTACCAAAATATACATTACATCCAATCAGATAAACGCAATTTAAAAAGAAAAAAATATTCCAACTCTTTTAATTGTAAATTTGGTCTGCAAAAAAGTGAAAGAAAAATAATTAATCATTATATGCATACAGACTCACAATAATTTATTTATATCTGTGCAAATGCACAGGTCGAATACTAGTGAGAACAAAATTCAGATTGTGACCATTTTATTTTTTGTTTTGTTTTGTTTTGGGTGGGTGCAGATGACAGCATCCCACTTGCCCTACACACGCAACGGCTTAAAATTCTTCACGAGGAAAGGTGGGCTCACGTCCACACAAGTTGAAGAAATTTGTGATAAAGCGGCCCAAAAATATGCCAACCGCCAGGCCAAATTGTGGACCGCGCTTAGAGTCGAGCCCAAGAGAGTCAACTTCATGAGCGCCTATGCCGAGCATCTTAGAAACATAATCAAGCAAAAAGTTAACCATCCTTTGCATTATGAGTCCCCTCTTCAAGGATTTAAGGTTCTCTACACATCCCTAGTTACCACACTTACCTAACACATCTTCAAGAATTTCGTCAAAATCCCCATTGAATTGTTCAAAATTTTCCGGACAAAATGCACCTTAAAGTTTGACCGAAATCTGCCAGAGATCTCGCAATTGGATTTTTATAATATGGGAGAAGGCTACAGTCCCGTTAAAGTATGGTTCCGTCGGTGTATTTAACCGTAGATACACATGTAGATCAGTGACGTATAGATAATCTACGGTTAAAAATATCGACGAACCATACTGTAACGGGACTGTAGTCTTCAATCTCCTATAATAATTATTTATAATAATTATATATACACTAAGCAAAATTTTACTCGTGGTGACTATATCGGAATATCCGAATCACAGATAATCGTAAACGCTGGAAACGGGTCCGGAGGATTCTTCACGTGGGATGTATTGGATAGGCTCGGGGCCGACACATTCGGGTCGCTATACCTAAACCCGGACGGCATGTTCCCGAACCACATTCCCAACCCAGAGGACAAGACTGCAATGTCGGTAACTCGGTCGGCTGTGCTCGACAACCGAGCTGATCTCGGAGTCGTCTTCGACACGGACGTTGATCGGAGCGGAGTCGTTGAACGGGACGGGAACCCCATCAACGGCGACCGACTCATCGCCTTAATGTCGGCCATCGTGTTGAAGGAGCACCCGAGCACGACTGTGGTAACCGATGCCCGCACGAGCATGGCTCTCACGAGGTTTATCAACAAAAAGGGCGGGAAACACTGCTTATATAGGGTCGGGTATCGGAATGTGATCGACAAAGGGGTGACGCTCGATCGGGATGGGGTGGAGACGCACCTCATGATGGAGACATCGGGCCACGGGGCTCTCAAGGAGAATCACTTTCTCGACGATGGTATATATATGTTGAGTTATATATATATAAAGATGAAACTATCGCAAGATATAAAGAAAAAATTAGCAAAAAAAAAAAAGAAAAAAAAAAGCCGGTCCCTGTGACCGGTTGATGACGTGTATATTATTTTTCACTTTTCTTGTATACGTGGCAGTCGACTAATATCCAATTCAGCAGCTGGTTAAATTGATCGGCTTTTGCCGGTGGAAGGATTAAAAGTCAGTTTTTTTTAGGGTGTTTTGTAAAATTTAACCATCGAACTATTTTTCAACTTGGTGTTAGTTACAAGACTAAGTCTCCAGTTTTTTCCAAGATAAACATATAATTCGGAATGTATGTTGTAGTCGTCGGACTACAACACATCTAATGTGTTTTTTTTTTTTTGGTTTGAATTGGAAACTCAAGGTGCATATATGGTGGTTAAAATAATCATTGAGATGGTGAGGATGAAACTCGAAGGATCGGATGAAGGGATCGGGAGCTTGATAAAGGATCTTGGAGAGTCACTCGAATCAGCCGAGCTCAGGATGAACATATTGTCTGAGCCTAGATTTGCCAAGGCCAAAGGCGTGGAGGCTATCGAGGAATTCAAAAATTACATTGAGGTAAAGAATCTGGAGTCATACTATATCAATATGACGAATAACATTTACTTTCACATGAGAGTAACTCCGAGGCGTGGAGGCTCTTTATTTGATTTTAACTCCATTGGAGTCTCCGTTTTGCCAACTCTTTTAAAAAAATGAAAGAAAATACTAAAATAGCTCCCCAAAAATAGAGAACCAACATATATTAATTATAAGGAGCTCTTTAATTTGGGGGAGGCAGTCTAGAGATGCCGTTGGAACATTTTTACTTGATTTGGCTCCCTAAAATAGATAAGAGGAATGATAGGGAGTTATATATAGTATTGTTGAATTTAACTTATATATTATGTTATCTTAACATTTTTCTAGATATTTATTATGCTACCTTACATGAACTTTAAAATCTGTTACAAAGGATTACACATTTGACATTAGCCAAAATAATATATAATTAAGAACCTCTGCTTCAGACAAACTGTCAGCTGGCAATTTTTCAATAGATAAGAACATATATTGTTTCTACTTGTTGAGTATGAAAAAAAAAAAAAAAAATGAAAAAAAATAAATAAAAGAATTATACGCCCAAGTCTCATTATTTATGCCAAACTTTTGTCATAATTTTTATTTATGTTAAATGAAAATCTTCAGCAAGGAAAACTGGAAGGGTGGGAATTGGATTCTTGTGGAGATTGCTGGGTAAGTGAAGGCTGCCTTGTGGACTCCAATAACTCACCTGCCGCCATTGACGCTTATATGTACAGGTGCCATTATAATCTCATGCCTTGTTATTAGCTTCCTCAGTAATTCAATTATTAATCCAGCTTCATTTTAAATAAATATTTATGTGTTAATAAATAAATCCAGGGCTAAAGTCTCATCTGCAGAGCACGGAGAAATTGGGTGGATACATTTAAGGCAGAGTATTCACAACCCAAACATAGCCGTTAATTTTCAGTCCACAATTCAAGGAGGTTGCAAGACCATGACAAGAGCACTCAGAGAAAAGTATGCATCAATAATATAGACTGTCCATATTGCAATTAATATTAGTTGTGTACTTTGCAATATTTTATTTTAAATTTATATTCAAATATATATTACTAAAATAGCCACAATTCTGTCTCTATTGTGCCTAAAGGTTCCTTTCACCCAGTGGATTGGACAAAATCCTCGATACTTCACAGATTGACGAGTACGCCACAAACGGGAGAATATAGTCTTAAAGAATTCAAGTGGCCGAGTATATATGTATAGAAATTAATTTGTAGTCAATGTCATTATTATGGATGATGATCTTATTTGTGGTCGAGCTCTAGCTAGTGGAGGCTCTCGAATTCCTTGGTGTGTTCAATTGAGAAATCGATGAGTCCGTAAACTTGTTTACGGCCTCAATCCTTTGCCACTTCAACTTGTTTTTTCCATCTGTTTATACTTATTGTGCCAAACGAACCCAATTAATAGATCTTTTGAAGTTTGACATTAGCATAAAAGAAAGAAAGAAATGGCATAATAACGGGATGTGATTATTTGTATAAAATCTTGAGTGAAACTGTCTAATTATACATTAGGTTGATGATGATCCATGAAAATATATACTTTAAAATGTCATACTT